TTGACCGATGGAAAAGGGCTTGTATTCTATCAAAAACTAATCACGTCAATTATAGAAATAACTTCACATGTAAATATACAAACATTCAGTTATTAACACCACAACCGAAGCTCAGATTAGCTATTTGGTAATCCTTAATTAATCGAACTTAAAATTAAACTCTATAAATTTGCTGTTTCCGATCGAATAGAATTTACACAAAATGTACTAATTAATAGCTTAGCCCTAACTGCTAATGAGGCTCTTTTCCACAAATACCTACTTAAAATTGACTTTTGGACATATTAGGTTCATTTATAAGTAGAAAGAAGTGATACATGACAATCAGACAGTGTCTGGGCGACGAAGAATTAAATTAAAACGGTTTCAAGTCCCAGAGTAAACCGCTTAAGTAATACTAACAATCAGATAAGTTTCACCAGACTTAGATACTACATTCCTTAGTAAATTAGGTATCACATTTATCTAGAGAGTATAATACATACCTCATAGAATTAATTTAACTAATACCGTTAGAAAGTTTTCAGGGAACTGGAAGGCTACGGACAAAAGCATTCGGAGTAGAAATTATGTATAAAGTTACCAATTTATTCCATCCAAGAGACTATACGCTGACTGTACGAACAAAATAAACTCTCAGAGTCCCTTATCGGCGAATTTGAAAATGAATGTGTCATCTAAATACAGTAACTTCAACTTCCAAAATGTAAACGGCAATACAATAGGGAATTGAATCCAAATTCGAAATGGAGCTAAAACCGTGCGACTAAATACCTAATAAACAATTGATGTAATGGAAACTTATGCTATAAATATTATGGCTCCATAAATCCGTGACAGCACAATTTGATTTAATGTTTTCTAAATGGCGTTATAGTGGTTGATATTGTTAAAACTAGGCTTGTTAAACTTCCGACGTTGTCACTGACAAATTAGGAACGCGCCCCGGCGAACACCCTGCCCTACTAATTGACTGCACGTCAAGTTTCACCACGATAATCCAAATACAAACCAAGACTGATTCCTTTTAGATTCACACCTTTTTAACGTTGATTTACGAAAGCAGTTCGCTGTTAAAAATTTGTTTATCATGACACGGTATACCGATACTTATAATTTACATCGTGTTTTTTCTTTCGTTCGCTTTGAGTTTAGTTTGTCATTCCGCCCCAATCACGTGGTATCAATGCTATTTTTCACTACGGCATCGTTGGCTTAAAGGAAAATTGAAAACTCGGTGTTTTTATTTCGTTATTTTCCTTTCATTTTTGGTTCTTCAGCCGTGTACGCTAATTACTAGACCAGCGCCAAACAAAAATATGTAACGTACGTTTAAGTAATAGTCTCTTTTTGAAGGGTTTTTAATTGAAGAAAATCGTAGCGTTATTATACTAACCCAAAAATCAAAAAGCCCCTGAAAAAATCGTTACAAATTAGTAATAAGATATTCGTTTGGTGAACTATAACTGGTATTTACAAGCATTTATCAGCTCACCAACACACACACGCTAATCGGCGGTGTAATAGTTGCATAACACCACTTGATTACATTGCAAGTTCCAGTGAGACCGGCCTTACAGCTCCAAACATTGCTTACAGGGATAGTTTTGATAGACTTGAACGGACTAATGGCTGCCTAATCTCCTGTCTTAAGGAACATTCAGAACGTTTACGTATTGGAAGCTGATGGTCTCTATGACATGAGATTAGAACATTAAGTTGAATGGTACCGATAATGCCAAGAAACTCGTGGTTTTCTATCAAGGTTTATTATTATTTCTGTGAATATGTGATTAATTTCAAAATCATGCCCTTCGAATATTTACGTAAGTTATATTAGGTACGTTTAAACTGTCAAACACCAAGCGGTCACCGGTGACCGCGACCTATTGTTTTTTAATTGTGTCTATAAAACCGGTACTCGACGAGTTAAAATGATATTTTTTGCATATCATACTATTCTTAGATTTGTAATCACTCCCGAAATCGTTTTAAAAAAAATACATATCTAGCTTCAAAGTTACTAAGTACAAACAAAAACAATACTAAATAGAAATGACATCACGATAGGTGCAGTGGCTGGTCAACTGGCTGCCGCGCAACGTGTCACCGGTTCGAGTCCTGCACGGAGCAACTCTTTGTGTGATCCACAAATTGTTTGACCTAGTTGTTCCAGCTCTGGGTGTCATGTGTATGTTAACTTGTACATATGTTTATCAATGAAAATCCCAGTATGAGGCAATGTTTTTTTAAAATAAATAAATCAACAGACGTAAAATAATCCAACTACAGACCACTTCTGAAGATTCAAAATCTGTTAGTTAATACTTCTTCGTATTAATTTTGAAAGAGGATAAGAACTTTCAAGACTAGTGTCGTATTACATTTTAAAAGTTATTGAGTTCTAGGTACAAAATTGTGTACAAAATACGACTTTCATTTTCGAGATCAAAAATGTAAAACCTATTCGTTTATTTTAGTGGGCTTAAAAAATTTTTATGGACACATTTTAAAAGTAATACGTCTATCTATCTTAATACGAAGGTACACTGAATGTATTTATTCGATTGAAAACATACATACAAGGACCTCAATGGTTACATAATAAATATCTCGTGGGTGTATTGTGTATCTAATAAATTGTCAATAGGTCGTAAACATGTATTTAACTCGCGGGCATAGGGTTTGGAATCCTAGCAACGGGTTAGACAAATAAGCGGTCACTCTGTCGTATCAAGGTTTTTTTCTTGAACTACGTGGGATGTACTAAATGTATGACATCCTCGATGTTACGAACCTCGTAACATAATACGAAAGTAATTTATGAAGGAATATGGTATTTTCTAAAAAGGCTAAGCTAAATTAACTAAAATCGCGGGTTACTCACGTGAATATACTGAGTAAAGCTCTATTAGTTTACGTAAGTTATATTATTTTATTTTTTACGCACGCTGCTCATGAGGAAGAACCCTTCTGTGGTTCGCAACTAGTAGAGCTTTTCTCAGTATATTCCCGTGAGTAAGCCGCGATTTTACTTAATTTAGTATGTCCCATGATAGTTATTACAACAACAAAGACTTTTATAAGGGAGGAAAATCATCGAATGACTGCTCCCGCTTAGGTGAGGCGGGAGGGAGTGTCAGGCTCTTACTGGCTAAAAACCCCGTTCCTTCTCCTGCACGTCTAGCCAGAGCCCCGGTAACCCGTTAGCTTGTCCGCGACAAAACTCATTTTAAATGAAATTTGGAATAAATTCAACAAAACTTTGTATAAAATAAGTTTCAAATAACTTTTCGTATTCAGAGTATAATTACTATAATTTCCTGATACTCGTATTTCAGGTTATCAGCCGATTATTTTGTCCGCTCAATTTACATGCAGCGCTATTAAGTAAGGGTCAATGACCGTGCGTTCTACAGTCAGAAGTTTGGACAAGACCATTAGACAATCAGTCTAACGAACTTCACACATCTAGTTAGTTCAAACCAATTCAGATCTTAATGATTAACATTTGATATTGAAAGCCAATGAAAAATAACGTAAGTTTACTTTCGATTCAAGGTGTTAATGAATGAACATTAAGTTCAATTTGGTTTGAACTACACTTCAGTCGATTAATATTTACTGAAGTTTGTAAGGTATGTGGGGTGTAATTGTTGTAGACAATTTGACACGATTTGATTTTGTTAACTTTCTTTCTTTGACTACTGGACTAAATATGTAAATACCTAACTACTCTTTTGGGGAATACTCAATAGTATATTTTTTATAGTTCTTCGAAATCTTAATATAGTCGTGTCACATCTATTGCGATCAGTTTCCCAAGAAAAATATATTATTGGTTTTCTCAATTTCCCTGTTCTCTATCACCAAATAAAACGTGACCTTGGTATTGATGTATGGGAATAAAGTCGTTTCTATTGACTTTAAGTATAATTTAAAAATATAACCATTAAAATGTTTTTCATTGCAAAACTTTTTAACTAATTGATAATTTATTAATACTTATTTGTTATAAAAGCTACTTATTTGTGATAAAGTTATGGCGGCAAACATCATGGACAAATAAAGGAGATATATACTCTTACGAAGGGTCCCTAATTTATTTAAAATAATACCATAAATAATATTATGTAAGTCCTCATTGAAAGGAAAGTAAGGAGTTTTATGAGCAACATCAATACGTAAGTAAATACCTCTATATAAATAACAGGACGATATTGTAACTTCCGTAGTACGTATTATCATTACAATGTTTAGACGTTAAAAGCTGCAGAGAAATGTACAAAAAATAAAAACAACTACGATACTTCTTTAGCTTTAGCAGTAATTTCTACTCAAATTATTTTTATATTTGTTACTGGCATGTATACTCTCAGGAAGTAAGTAGAAGTTATGATGAAAATTATGGTCAACATTGGACCTTTTTCCGTTAAGGAATAGGCAGAGTTTCTCTTGCCTTAAGTTATAAATCTCAACCTATCACCATTACTAGAGACTTTATTTAATTTTTTAATCTTCAAAACTTAAATTCATTTTAACCATTTCATTACTTTAAAATCTTAAGCACTAAACAGTTTTGAGGCATTCTTGATTTTAATAGAACATCTAGAGTTTTTTAATGTTGAAAGTTCCGTGCTTATAATCAGTTTATAAAACACGTAATTTCACTATTTTTGTACTAATTCCTGCCACAAACGGCCCACAAAATAAGTTACGACCGATAAGTAAAATGCTTGAACACACATAAAGCAAGTTCACTGAACATTTAAGTATTAGTCATGAAACGTTTATGTTGTTGCAATTTTCATACAATGTTATTATTACTTACGATACCATTTTCGTTTACCTTTAAAAGTATAGAGAAATAGTGAAATACCCACATAAAGATTGTTTTGTTTATTTCTCTAAAAGCACTAATTCCACAGTTCCAAAGTATAGGTATTAGCCAGATAACAGCTCGCTATCGTTACCAATAATTAAAAATAAATCATACTTACGAGTGGTAGCCACCGTAGAGGCAGCAAACAGCCAATCCAAAAGGAACAGTGCCAGTAACATTCTCCCACTTTTCCATAAACACAGTCTATACAATAACATCATAATTACTGTAATATTTATATGACAAACTATATTGTTTTAAAATAATTATTATAGATCCAACTTCAGTCCCACGGTGGGCGCCAAACCAATTTGAGTGTAAATTACAATCATGATCAAATTATTCGACAACATGTCACCATAATTGGATATAAACTAGTTTTGACATATTACAGCCAGGCTATTTTCGAAAATGACAAAATTCGTAATAAAACAAACTGAACCATAAACATGCGTTAAATTTTCTTTTAGATTGCATAGAACACACGCAAAAAAGTGATTAAGGGGGCGGTCAACTTAGAGAGTGCGTAATATTTTCCCGAAATCCCGTGAAAAGTTTGATACGAGACATCCACCGGGCGACTCGCACGCGACCGTCACCGCTCACGACTCGCAGATAACTGTTGCAACCAAGTTATGCCGGCGCTGGCAGAAAGCGACACCTCCTCCTTCATAGCGCCGTCCCTTTCACACAAGGCGGAGAGCATACGATTCATTAACCTTCTGATACTGACATTTCTGTTCATAATACGGAAAAGTACCGAGTTTATTGGCTAACTCGTTCTTGTATTATACACCAATCCAAGCAATACAAATGTCAATCACAGCAAATTAAGTACCGAAAATCTCGAGGATTTTATTTTATTTCTTATCGCTTAAGACGTTAAACGTGGGATGTAGACAATACATAATCTAAATATAGCAATAATAACAATTAATTTACCAAGTAGTACCTTGATATAATATGTCTATATTTTTACATACATTTTTCTTAAGACCTGATCTTTAGAGAACTTACTGACACTTTAGGGGAAAGTCTCGTAACGCCGGACGGCACCTAACGCCGGACGGGAAGTCTTCCAGTGGCAGACACCTAAGATTTTTAGGTGCTGTCCGGCGCTAAGGGACTTGGCCCTACACAAATCCGGTTTTTATAGTCACGAAGTTATATTGCTTATAATTGCCAATTCAGAACAAAAAGCAAACATTAAGTCAAGTTAACCCCAAAAAGAAAAACATCCCTGTGACCTGGGAATACCCATATAATCGCTAGATTAATTTACACTCTCGTCTCACAATTATTTTATTCTTTGTTTTGGTGCGTAAATTAGTAGTTGAAGACAAAAAACAATTGAGGTTACTCGCACCTTTTTTCTCATTCTGCATTCATTCAATAAAGAGTGTTCTTTTTTCTTCTCAGGTGATTTTTTCTTTTCCTATATTGCTATCCTTGTCATATAAAGCATGACATCACTGATGTGTATTTATTTGTATTGCATTTTATTATAATCCTGTGATATGTCAAAAGTGTTTGATTTGGTAATATACATATTTTTCAATTTATTATTGGGAACATGAAATGTTATTGTATAGCATAATAATTTTAAAGGAACTTTGTTTGTCTTTCACGTTGACTGTTAAAAATTATTGCAATTTGGAGATTTCTTAATAACACAGCCTTTGAGAACATGAAATGATATTGTAAATAAAGGTTTTTATTTTAAAAATGTTTTTTTTTTTTTTTTATTTATATCGAGAACATGAAATGTTATTGTAGAGTATGCTCTCAAAGAGAAAAAAAAAGTTTCTTTAATATGTTAAAGAAACTTTTTTTTTCTTTCAGGTTAAGTCTTACAGAATATTGCGATTAATATAATTCTTAGTAGAACATCCGTCTTATGAAAAAGTAAAAAAATACTTACATTCAGCAATCCGTATTAATCGAGAAAAACTTTAAGTTAAAATGTATTAAATACAAGAATACAAATAGATGTTTGACATTTCTTTTTTCCATTGTGAAATGGAATGAGAACAGTAGCATGTCACCTTGTTATGACTTCTGACATTCATAAGGCTTCATTCATATTTTCTAGTATTGTAAGGTTGTTTACGCGGTTCAAGAGTCTTAGCTGTATTGGATAATATGAGGTACAATGGACGAGACACATACTATGGAAAAAAACATGTTTGTCTATCTTTTTTCGAAAGGATAACACGTCTTGATAATCTACACCCACCTTAATTCACGTTATAGTTTTGCGTCATTTCTTTTTAAAAATTTTAAGTTGTTTTTTTTTTAAATAAGGCAGTGTACGCCTCCTTTCCTTCGAAGACTTATGTTACATCGTAGACCGCATTATCGCCTGCCACCAGGCTAGATAGTGGTCAAACGTCGGCCCATCAAATAAATAAAAAGTTATTTTTCAAAAAATGATACTTTATGAACTACTTATTTGATACTAGCTTTTCGCTTGCGGTTTTGACCCCTGGAATTCGCCCCTCATAAAAATGCCAACCCTTTTTGTTAGTCTATTCAATTTAAACAAACAAACAATCACATTTTTGCTTTTTACAATTTTAGTATGCCAGCTTAGATAAAGTTTCTATGAGTAATAGTGAACTAGATGCAATAGTAATTGGGATGAAAATTAAAAATCTACCTAATTAATCCGTCAGTTAGGTAATGAAAAAATATTAGACACGTATTTTTTTATTTTGTCGTATAATATAACAATACTTAGATAAACCGAACCAAAGTTTAGGAGTGGGGGCTAAAACGCCATTTCTACGTATAAAATGTACACAGAAGTGACGTCACGCGACATTTCAAATCAATATATCGTCGAAAGTATTCGTTTCTGCAAGAAAATAAAAAATACATACGTGTCTAATGATTTTAAATAATCTACCAGACGGGCATTACAATAAAAATTAGGCATCTACCCTATTATGTGTTATACAGTTGATATAAAGTTCATTATGCTATGTACAGTTTCGTTGCAGAAATAATTTCCATTCCAGTCCGCGGCGGTGTAAATTGAGCCTTAACAAAAAATGGTTTTTCCTGTCATGGTTTACTTCCAATGACATATCCAAAAATATTCCGAGTAGATTTCGTATGTGTTCTTGTCAACCCAGTCTAAGCTTACTGTACGAGACATTCTAGATGTCAATTTGCCTAGTTTTCCCAGCAAAATGGAAATAGTTCCATAAGTTCTAAAAATACTTCGGTCTGGAATTAGACTTCCTAACCTCGTACGTTTAGTCATATGAATTCTTATTGATATTTTTAATTAGGTATAATACACAGATAAGTCTATTGATAAAATGGCTTTGATGCAGTTGTTATGAAGGTTATTAAAATCAATAGAAAATGAGTAGTACTTTACAGGTACTTTAGGTACCAAAGCTTGTAGTCTTAACAAATTGATCTTGATATTTAACCACATACAATCTATTAGAGTAGAGATTTTACTTAGAGATTTATCCTTGCAACACAGACAAGATGGACGGTTTCCTTTGCGTTGCTAATAAGTAAAGTTTGTTAAAGTTAATTTATAACAAGTCCAGTTTACAGTTTAACAGCCAATAAACTTTTCTACTATTCAATAAGGAAGTATTTTGTCCAACTTCATGTTTGCTATCGAAAACTAAACAAAGATATCTCGTTTTGATATCGAAGCGAATTGAAAGAACAAGAATGATGTATGTAGGTATAAATATTAACGGTATTTCTAAGGCTGGCTGCCGCTGACCTAGGCGGCTAGCCTGCAAGGAAATGCCCGTCCGTTCGCAGAACTCAATTCTGTGGCGCCGACCAGCCGGACATTATTTACTGGGAAACAAAATAAATAATAGGCATGTTTTTAGAAACCACTCACACAGAACATAATAGTTTACTTGCAAAAATGTGAAAAGTTCTACATATTAGAAATCTTTTTGTGGAAGATAAGCGGCTTATAATACTATGTTATATATGGTAAGTAAAATGAACATTGTAGGTCGGTTTCTGCCTCATGCATTACGACGAAATACAAGTCATTAGTGACGTCATAGTTCAAAGGGTAATTATTATTCAAAAAATCAATGTTCGAAGCATTTGCATGGTTTCCCGCCGTTGTGGTTGCGGTTCGAGTTTAATGAAATATTATTCGACGATAGAAGGTACTCGAATTACTTCCAGCTGTCGATAACCGAATGAAACCTTTGGAAATTTAAATTGTACAAATGTACTGTAAGTATAGTTAGTCCTAAGTGGTGATTGACAAAAGTTTCGACGTCGAACTAATGATGCTCGTTACGTTTGATGACTAGACTATAAAAGCTACACTCAACATTATTAGAATCTGGATCTAGTGTTCCAATAAACTGATTCATTCCATTCAAACACGTTTAAAACTAAATCCTGCGTTGAAAAGTCTGTAATTCTAGTTTTTATTTTATACCATTTGTTTTACGTGTAAAATGTAAACGTATTTTCAGTTTTGTGTTAACTATAAACAATATGAACAAAATTACAATTGCTGCAGCTAAAAGATTAAATAATAAAATAGATAAATAACAACTTCAATCCATTTTAATTTCGAACCAACTTTAGTTGGACTCCAACACCATCATAAACAAATTAAACAAACAGAACTACGTACCTTTTAACTTAAACTATCCGATTTCAACGCTGAACGTGAGAAAACATGTAACATAGAGAGTCCTCGAAGCACGAACATTAAACAATGTATACTTGATTATACAATGGTGTTATCATCCTCTATCCACAGGCCTTGATTCAGTCACAGAGGCACATGGAATGTATGTAACGTAACACGTCACAATGTTCCCTGAGCCTCCCTGAAACCACATCACAGAACCTCCTGAGAGCTCCCAGCAATATATGTGTATGTTATTTCCACGTTTTTAACTTCAAAGGTTCAGTAAATCGATGTTTGTTTTTAAATTGAAGTAAAGTTTTCTGAGAAGGAAAGAAAAACCAGTTTTTATTTTTTGTTTGTACATATTTATTTTAAATGCAATGCAATGTTAACTGTACTTTCTTTGCGCATTACGCATTATGTATTAATCAATAAATGCACATCTCTAATTGTCCTTTAGAGGTTGGTAGAAACCTGCTTCTACTTGTGAACATTGGCGCTTGTGAAATATGATACAAATGTTTGCTTTTACTGCTCTCGACTGCCTCATTGTGCAAGTGGTCGCAAGTGTGACTG